AGAGTTAAGTGTCCTGCCAGAAGTTCTAAGAGTCACATAAACTGTAATATTCAGAAAACTAATCCAGGCAGATCTGACATTGGTATTAAGTCTAGATGATGTCATAAATGCAACAAGCTATTAATCAGCAAGGAAAGACCCACTATAGTTCAATGGGAAAAAGAACTCAATTTCTTGGTCAGTCCATATACTAAGTAACAGTTCAAGTAACATTACATAATGCAAACTGCTTCATTATAATTGTAGATGATATAAGAGAGAACAACAAAAAATAAGATAGATATTCAATGTTAAATTTGAACAAAATACTACCCTCTCATGTTTAGCAACTATCCCGTCACTCTGCAAACAAGTAATAACCTTCATACGCCAGCCAAACACTAATTAGCGTTATGTTTTCAAAACCTCGAAGGCCCGATAGCTCCTATAAGGACGCCACCAAGTGTGTGCAGGGTAATCGATCACAATATTACGCATACGTGTATGTAGTCTTATAGCTGTATGTAACCTAATTATATTATAAACATTGCAGTACACTGTGCAAGTAGTTGAACATAAAAATAGATCTAAAAACACACGCATAAAACATTATCCATAGGCCCTGTTTGTATACAAATGCTGGTATTTTACTGCCTTTCGATGTAACAGAATAATTTGGCTCTGGCTTTTCAGCAAGTCAAAAACGGTGTACTGGTTAGAAAGCTCATGACACATGGCGAGTTCACATTCACTGTTCAGTTAAAAAATTAAAAAGCTACAGTGACTAAACTTGAATATAGATGGATAACGTACCTTAAAATTACTGCAATGAATTTATCCCATATCTTTCCGAATTCCCGAAATGTAATAACAACGACAATCATGTGAAACTTTGGCACGGTAACCTAACTGTACTGTACAGTAAATGTGTCATTGCGCATGCGCACTTGCGTGACCTTACTGTTTATCAACAAATGCATGTGGTCCTACCAGATCAGCTGTAATGAAAAAGATATGTTCTCTGTTGATGCACACTTTGAATACTTATATTTAGACACCACAAGAATGTTCAGTATATGCAGTACTAGAAAAGTAAAAAAATTAATAGGCACTAGATGAAACCATTGGATCGACTCAATTAAATCAGTCAATGAAATGCATGAATGTATGTACATGTATCATGCATATGGTAATAGAAAACATTCATACTACCACTCGCGTGAAAGTTTTTGACGACAAAGTCATTTATAAACCATTCTGACAAGCTAGTTTAAGTCCTTTGTCTTCCTCTGGCTCCGCCGCGATGGGCAGAAGTTTGTGGTCTGCTGGTATTTGCGTCAGGTGCACTGGCCCTGCTACGACGGTGCTGTGTAATCGTATCACTGACCTCGCTGCCAACGTTAAATAGGACAATGTCCCCACTCCTTAGCCTTCCAAGGATTTTCCCGTTTGTTGACCATTGTTGTTCGATATCTGGGTGCTCTTTGACCTCTTGTAGTAACTTCCTGTTCATGGGACTCAGGTCCTCATACACGATAATGTTCGACCCCTTAAGCTTTTTCCTGTTCGATATGATATTATCCTTTCCGCCCCTCCATTTAAGTTTAGCGATTACAGGTCTCGGATATCTATCATCCTGTTTGTAAGGCCTTAGTCTGTGACTGACCTCTATGTCATCTGAGGTGATAACACCAGGCATGTATGGCAAGATGGCTTCACAAATGGATTCATTACAGTTTTCATTGTCTCTATCAGCCTTTGTTTCTTTTTCAGGGATTCCGAGGAATCTCACCGTGTTTTTTCTAGAGTATTGGGCATTGTGGTTAACGTCTAATACTAATTTATCCAATTTTGTTGTTAGGTTGAGGACTTCAGTCTTCAGTTTAGTATTCTCACTTTCAATATTCGAGAGTCTAGCATTCGACTTTTCCAGAGCTTTAGTCACTGCCTTATCAATACTTTGTTCCATTTTGTGATCAATAGATCGCATCAACTGGTCCATATAGTTCATCATCCAGCCTTGGGTTACCGGTGCTGCAGTATTATCAGATTTCAACATTACTGGGGTTTCAGAACTGCTTGGCTTACCAACAGTAGTTTCTACGTGTTTCTCTTTCTCAAGAGTAGTCTCAGCGAAGGCATCATCATAGTGATCTTCATCTAAGTCACCCTCGTACTCACTATACTTTCCTGAAGATTTTCTGTCTCCGTGTTCATCATCTTTAGCTCTCCTTTTCACTGGTTGTCGGTCGCCATCTTGTTTTTCAGTGCTCAAAGAATTTTCATGAAAAAAGTTTGTGATCGGTTTTTGCGCCGTACACATGATTATCTCGTAATCCAATGGTTTGGTTTTGTGCTAAGAACGTTTATAATCCACAACTGCTCAGAAAATTTGCACTACGAATGTTTATATTCTCAATATAGTGGATCTTTCCTCGCTCAAAAATGTACAAGTCACTGTTCTATGAACGCCATCTATTTTCAAGAGGAAGGTATCCAATTTAATGTATGTATTATACCAGACCTGCGCTTAATTCTAAAACATGAGCAAGAGGAAGGTATCCAATTTAATGTATGTTTTATATCATACCTGCGCTTAGTTCTAAGACATGAGCAAGAGGAAGGTATCCAATTTAATGTATGTATTATATCATACCGGCGCTTAATTCTAAGACATGAGCAAGAGGAAGGTATCCCATTTAATGTATGTTGTTTTTCAGTGCTCAAAGAATTTTCATGAAAAAAGTTTGTGATCGGTTTTTGCGCCGTACACATGATTATCTCGTAATCCAATGGTTTGGTTTTGTGCTAAGAACGTTTATAATCCACAACTGCTCAGAAAATTTGCACTACGAATGTTTATATTCTCAATATAGTGGATCTTTCCTCGCTCAAAAATGTACAAGTCACTGTTCTATGAACGCCATCTATTTTCAAGAGGAAGGTATCCAATTTAATGTATGTATTATACCATACCTGCGCTTAATTCTAAGACATGAGCAAGAGGAAGGTATCCAATTTAATGTATGTTTTATATCATACCTTCGCTTAATTCTAAGACATGAGCAAGAGGAAGATATCCAATTTAATGTACGTATTATATCATACCTGCGCTTAATTCTAAGACATGAGCAAGAGGAAAGTATCCAATTTAATGTATGTATTATATCATACCTGCGCTTAGTTCTAAGACATGAGCAAGAGGAAGGTATCCAATTTAATGTATGTATTATATCATACCGGCGCTTAATTCTAAGACATGAGCAAGAGGAAGGTATCCAATTTAATGTATGTATTATACCATACCTGCGCTTAATTCTAAGACATGAGCAAGAGGAAGGTATCCAATTTAATGTATGTATTATATCATACCTGCGCTTAATTCTAAGACATGAGCAAGAGGAAGGTATCCAATTTAATGTATGTATTATACCATACCTGCGCTTAATTCTAAGACATGAGCAAGAGGAAGGTATCCAATTTAATATATGTATTATACCATACCTGCGCTTAATTCTAAGATATGAGCAAGAGGAAGGTATCCAATTTAATGTATGTATTATACCATACCTGCGCTTAATTCTAAGACATGAGCAAGAGGAAGGTATCCAATTTGATGTATGTATTATATCATACCTGCGCTTAATTCTAAGACATGAGCAAGAGGAAGGTATCCAATTTAATGTATGTATTATACCATACCTGCGCTTAATTCTAAGACATGAGCAAGAGGAAGGTATCCAATTTAATGTATGTATTATATCATACCTGCGCTTAATTCTAAGACATGAGCAAGAGGAAGGTATCCAATTTAATGTATGTATTATATCATACCTGCGCTTAATTCTAAGACATGAGCAAGAGGAAGGTATCCCATTTAATGTATGTATTATATCATACCTGCGCTTAATTCTAAGACATGAGCAAGAGGAAGGTATCCAATTTAATGTATGTATTATATCATACCTGCGCTTAATTCTAAGACATGAGCAAGAGGAAGGTATCCAATTTAATGTATGTATTATACCATACCTGCGCTTAATTCTAAGACATGAGCAAGAGGAAGGTATCCAATTTAATGTATGTATTATATCATACCTGCGCTTAATTCTAAGACATGAGCAAGAGGAAGGTATCCCATTTAATGTATGTATTATATCATACCTGCGCTTAATTCTAAGACATGAGCAAGAGGAAGGTATCCAATTTAATGTATGTATTATATCATACCTGCGCTTAATTCTAAGACATGAGCAAGAGGAAGGTATCCAATTTAATGTATGTATTATACCATACCTGCGCTTAATTCTAAGACATGAGCAAGAGGAAGGTATCCAATTTGATGTATGTATTATATCATACCTGCGCTAATTCTAAGACATGAGCAAGAGGAAGCTATCCAATTTAATGTATGTATTATACCATACCTGCGCTTAATTCTAAGACATGAGCAAGAGGAAGGTATCCAATTTAATGTATGTATTATATCATACCTGCACTTAATTCTAAGACATGAGCAAGAGGAAGGTATCCAATTTAATGTATGTATTATATCATACCTGCGCTTAATTCTAAGACATGAGCAAGAGGAAGGTATCCCATTTAATGTATGTATTATATCATACCTGCGCTTAATTCTAAGATATGAGCAAGAGGAAGGTATCCAATTTAATGTATGTATTATATCATACCTGCGCTTAATTCTAAGACATGAGCAAGAGGAAGGTATCCAATTTAATGTATGTATTATACCATACCTGCGCTTAATTCTAAGACATGAGCAAGAGGAAGGTATCCAATTTAATGTATGTATTATATCATACCTGCGCTTAATTCTAAGACATGAGCAAGAGGAAGGTATCCCATTTAATGTATGTATTATATCATACCTGCGCTTAATTCTAAGACATGAGCAAGAGGAAGGTATCCAATTTAATGTATGTATTATATCATACCTGCGCTTAGTTCTAAGACATGAGCAAGAGGAAGGTATCCAATTTAATGTATGTATTATATCATACCTGCGCTTAATTCTAAGACATGAGCAAGAGGAAGGTATCCAATATAGGTGTCTGCCATTTGTCTGGAAAATAAAATAAACATTATTAATCAAATTTTGTGATTTTTTAGCGATGAACAAAGTTAATTTCATAAGGGGAAGGTTGTAAATGACACTTCCATTAGTGGAGAATAAGATTTCAGATTTTGTTAGGGGGTAGGGTAGGGAGGGTTAATGTTAGGGGGTAGGGGGAGGGAGGGTTAAACCAGAATGAAATTATCTTCATTATCTTCAACCAATCATCATATCAGTTCAAACCATGTGGCTCTTTTCTTGCATTAGCTAATATTATAGCAAATATATATCTATTAAACCACTTAACAATTGATGTAGTTGTAATACTGCAATAAATATTTGGACTTACCCTAGTTTTGGAATTCTTGAACATTGTCCAGCCATGCCACACATCAGGTTGCCATGGCTAATCATAACACCTAGAAATAAATTCATATAATATAAATACAACTACCATGCCACACATCAAGTTGCCATGGCTGATCATAACACCTAGAAATAAATTCATATAATATAAATACAACTACCATGCCACACATCAAGTTGCCATGGCTAATCATAACACCTAGAAATAAATTCATATAATATAAATACAACTACCATGCCACACATCAAGTTGCCATGGCTGATCATAACACCTAGAAATAAATTCATATAATATAAATACAACTACCATGCCACACATCAGGTTGCCATGGCTAATCATAACACCTAGAAATAAATTCATATAATATAAATACAACTACCATGCCACACATCAGGTTGCCATGGCTAATCATAACACCTAGAAATAAATTCATATAATATAAATACAACTACCATGCCACACATCAAGTTGCCATGGCTAATCATAACACCTAGAAATAAATTCATATAATATAAATACAACTACCATGCCACACATCAGGTTGCCATGGCTAATCATAACACCTAGAAATAAATTCATATAATATAAATACAACTACCATGCCACACATCAAGTTGCCATGGCTGATCATAACACCTAGAAATAAATTCATATAATATAAATACAACTACCATACCACACATCAAGTTGCCATGGCTAATCATAACACCTAGAAATAAATTCATATAATATAAAAACAATTGCCATGCCCCACATCAGGTTGCCATGGCTAATCATAACACCTGGAAATAAATTCATACAATATAAATACAATTGCCATGCCACACATCAAGTTGCCATGGCTAATCATAACACCTGGAAATAAATTCATTCAATATAAATACAATTGCCATGCCACACATCAAGTTGCCATGGCTAATCATAACACCTGGAAATAAATTCATATAATATAAATACAACTACCATGCCACACATCAGGTTGCCATGGCTAATCATAACACCTAGAAATAAATTCATATAATATAAATACAATTGCCATGCCACACATCAAGTTGCCATGGCTAATCATAACACCTGGAAATAAATTCATATAATATAAATACAACTACCATGCCACACATCAGGTTGCCATAGCTAATCATAACACCTGGAAATAAATTCATATAATATAAATACAATTGCCATGCCACACATCAAGTTGCCATGGCTAATCATAACACCTGGAAATAAATTCATATAATATAAATACAACTACCATGCCACACATCAGGTTGCCATAGCTAATCATAACACCTAGAAATAAATTCATATAATATAAATACAACTACCATGCCACACATCAAGTTGCCATGGCTGATCATAACACCTAGAAATAAATTCATATAATATAAATACAACTACCATGCCACACATCAGGTTGCCATAGCTAATCATAACACCTGGAAATAAATTCATATAATATAAATACAATTGCCATGCCACACATCAAGTTGCCATGGCTGATCATAACACCTAGAAATAAATTCATATAATATAAATACAACTACCATGCCACACATCAAGTTGCCATGGCTAATCATAACACCTAGAAATAAATTCATATAATATAAAAACAATTGCCATGCCCCACATCAGGTTGCCATGGCTAATCATAACACCTAGAAATAAATTCATATAATATAAATACAACTACCATGCCACACATCAAGTTGCCATGGCTAATCATAACACCTAGAAATAAATTCATATAATATAAAAACAATTACCATGCCCCACATCAGGTTGCCATGGCTAATCATAACACCTGGAAATAAATTCATACAATATAAATACAATTGCCATGCCACACATCAAGTTGCCATGGCTAATCATAACACCTGGAAATAAATTCATACAATATAAATACAATTGCCATGCCACACATCAAGTTGCCATGGCTAATCATAACACCTGGAAATAAATTCATATAATATAAATACAACTACCATGCCACACATCAAGTTGCCATGGCTAATCACAACACCTAGAAATAAATTCATATAATATAAATACAATTGCCATGCCACACATCAAGTTGCCATGGCTAATCATAACACCTAGAAATAAATTCATATAATATAAAAACAATTACCATGCCACACATCAGGTTGCCATGGCTAATCATAACACCTGGAAATAAATTCATATAATATAAATACAACTACCATGCCACACATCAGGTTGCCATGGCTAATCATAACACCTGGAAATAAATTCATATAATATAAATACAATTGCCATGCCACACATCAGGTTGCCATGGCTAATCATAACACCTGGAAATAAATTCATATAATATAAATACAACTACCATGCCACACATCAAGTTGCCATGGCTAATCATAACACCTGGAAATAAATTCATATAATATAAATACAACTACCATGCCACACATCAGGTTGCCATGGCTAATCATAACACCTAGAAATAAATTCATATAATATAAATACAATTGCCATGCCACACATCAGGTTGCCATGGCTAATCATTACACCTGGAAATAAATTCATATAATATAAATACAATTGCCATGCCACACATCAAGTTGCCATGGCTAATCATAACACCTAGAAATAAATTCATATAATATAAAAACAATTACCATGCCACACATCAGGTTGCCATGGCTAATCATAACACCTGGAAATAAATTCATATAATATAAATACAACTACCATGCCACACATCAGGTTGCCATGGCTAATCATAACACCTGGAAATAAATTCATATAATATAAATACAATTGCCATGCCACACATCAGGTTGCCATGGCTAATCATAACACCTGGAAATAAATTCATATAATATAAATACAACTACCATGCCACACATCAAGTTGCCATGGCTAATCATAACACCTAGAAATAAATTCATATAATATAAAAACAATTGCCATACCACACATCAAGTTGCCATGGCTGATCATAACACCTGGAAATAAATTCATATAATATAAATACAACTACCATGCCACACATCAGGTTGCCATGGCTAATCATAACACCTGGAAATAAATTCATATAATATAAATACAATTGCCATGCCACACATCAAGTTGCCATGGCTAATCATAACACCTGGAAATAAATTCATATAATATAAATACAACTACCATGCCACACATCAAGTTGCCATGGCTAATCACAACACCTAGAAATAAATTCATATAATATAAATACAATTGCCTAGCAACCACACTGCTGTCTGCTGAAATCTATTGCATTATCAGAAACATGAATCTGTCCAACAATAAAACACAAGTTACCATGACCAATCCTAACACTTGAAAGTATTTCATATTATATAATTACTATTGCCTAGCAACCACACTGTCTGCTGAAATCTATTGCATTATGGGAAATGTAAAATGCTTAAGATTACAGAGTACTATACATAGACCAACCTTTAGGCATTCCAGTGGAACCACTCGTATACATTATAACTGCAAGGTCATCCCTGGTTGGCTTCTGTGGTACTACACTCTCTGCAAATAACAGAAATCAAGTAAGGCAGTGACATTTGCTATCGAGTTTGTCTATTATTATGAAATTTGAAAGCTTTTTAATGTACTTACTATTTTCTGCACGTGAGCCCAGTTCTTCTACTCTGGACATGGAATGTAATTTGACATTTTCAGGAAAGCCACTAACATCTGGCTTATTGAGACCATAGTCGAAGTATATGATATGTTCAACATTCGGCATTTGTGGGAGAATTTTCTAGAAAAGAAAAGGATTTTATGATTAGTAAATTTGATTTCCTTAAAGTCCCCGTCTAAAATTTGAAAATATTTTTTTATCATTCATTTACTATTTGTCAGGACTTAAAAAGTGATTTTAGAGATTTTTGAACAAAAATTTTTTTTTGAAAAAAAAGTTGTGAGCATTTCATTTCTCAAATATTCAAATTTCCCGCCATTTTTCAAAAAAATTTGAAATTTCTTAATCATCAAATATTTCTTAATGCATTTCAAAAAAGATTATCTTTTTAACACCAATGCAAAGATTGAACAAAAGACACACTATTTCAATAATAAAATGTCATATTTAATGGGCCACTTCAATGTTTTAGCTTATCAAAAATATTTTGAAACATTAGTGATGTCACTAAGGTAACAAAAACTTTTTGAAAAAAATTTAATTTTTTTTTCGATGTCAATCTTTTCTAAATATGCTAGACTTTCATAAAAAACAATGTTGATTGTCTAACCAGGTTAAAAGGAAGAATAAATTATGTTTTAGATATCATTGTACCATTGGTTTCTATGAGAACTAAAATTTTGAAATGCATTTTTCTCAGAACCATTTTCATGCACTGATAAGTTCATTTCTCGCTTGTTTATCAACCGATTTTCTTAATTTTTTCGGCAAAAAACATGGGAGGATGAATGCTATGCATTGGTATGAATTATGGCTAATTAGAAGATAAATGTGGCCTCTAAAAGTTGGTTTTAAATAAATTCACAAATTTTGGAACAAAAAGTCTATCAAAAACCACTTTTTGAAATTTAAAAAAAAAGTTTCACATGTCACACTTTGATAACATTGGGTAAGACTACAATATAAGCCAAAGTGGTTTAAACTTTACATGGGGCCTTTAAAAAGGAAACTGCTACCATTCAACTATTAGTGGTAGTATGGGTACAGAATATGCTTTGATAAAGTCATGGGCTTTCAATAGACTGTGTTCTTAATCATTCTTAAAAACAATTGATTAAAGGGAGGATGGTCAATTGATTAAAGGGAGGATGGACAATTGATAAAGGGAGAAATGTCAATTTAAAGGGAGGATGGTCAATTGTTTAAAGGGAGGATGGTCAATTGATAAAGGGAGAAATGTCAATTGTCTTCATTGTAGAATATTTTTTTCTAAATGGAGACATTTGTAATTTAGGGTTTACATACAAGCCAAGTTCAAAATACAAATAGACAAGCACATAGGCCTATAGATGAACATGAATCACAAATCCCAATGCAAATATATCAAAAGTTTGTCCAGCTAACTGATAACTGCATCTTAATCCACTAACCTTAAATTTTTCTATGAGTTCATTACTAGTTATTAGATGTGTAACTTCTGATTCATTGACCCCATGGATTATGGCATCTTCTCCAAGTGTAGCATACAGGGTCACAACTACAATGTAAGCAAACATAAGTTATAATATAGCATCTTCTGCGTGTGTCGCATACAGGGTCACAACTACAATGTAAGCAAACATAAGTTATAATATAGCATCTTCTGCGTGTGTCGCATACAGGGTCACAACTACAATGTAAGCAAACATAAGTTATAATATAGCATCTTCTGCGTGTGTCGCATACAGGGTCACAACTACAATGTAAGCAAACATAAGTTATAATATAGCATCTTCTGCGTGTGTCGCATACAGGGTCACAACTACAATGTAAGCAAACATAAGTTATAATATAGCATCTTCTGCGTGTGTCGCATACAGGGTCACAACTACAATGTAAGCAAACATAAGTTATAATATAACATCTTCTCCGAGAGTCACATACAGGGTCACAACTACAATGTAAGCAAACATAAGTTATAATATAGCATCTTCTCCGAGAGTCACATACAGGATCACAACTACAATATAAGCAAACATAAGTTAAAATATAGCATCTTTTCCGAGAGTCAAAACTACAATGTAAGCAAACATAAGTTCTAATACAGCATCTTCTCAGAGAGTCCCATACAGGGCCACAACTACAATATAAGCAAACATAAGTTAAAATATAGCATCTTTTCCGAGAGTCACAACTACAATGTAAGCAAACATAAGTTATAATACAGCATCTTCGAGAGTCACATACAGGGCCACAACTACAATGTAAGCAAACATAAGTTATAATACAGCATCTTCTCCGAGAGTCACAACTACAATGTAAGCAAACATAAGTTCTAATACAGCATCTTCTCAGAGAGTCCCATACAGGGCCACAACTACAATGTAAGCAAACATAAGTTATAATACAGCATCTTCTCCGAGAGTTGCATACGTGGTCACAACTACAATGTTATTAAACATAGACAGCAGATTTGTTTCAATGCAAGAAAACATGCATTACAATGTAGCAAATATACATATAGATAGCACAAATGAGCTTCAAAATGCACATTCCAATCAAAATATAACATGAATTTAGATATATGACAGCAATGAATAATAACAAATATATAATATTTGACATGCAGTGAAGCATGCTAAAATGATTTAAGATAAAGGGCAATATAAAATTAATAAATTAGACATTTCAAACCTATTGGTATAGTTCAAATATCATCATTATAAATCAATGAGACTATAGAGGCACTATATATATATACTAGGCAGGCAATTGACCATGAACTGCAGAAAGCAAAGGAATATGGGAGGAGCTATAATTTCATAAGGGGCTACAAATCCATACTGCCATATACAGGATGTTGTAGTCATGCAAATATGAACTGCATAAATTTACTGCTGCACATCCTATCTATTGACTGTATGATATACTGTAAAACTCGAGAACTTTTACATGTTTTTGAATTTTGCAATTTACATCGGGAAACAAGTAGTCAAGGAATGAACATTCCATTTTTTAAGTCAACAGACAACTGACATGTGATAGTGTCATGGGTATAGTAAATACCAGTAAATGCAATTATTGATCTTTACAAAGATTAACTCTCAAAACATGCCAATTCTGTCAAAATATGCTAACCTATCAAAATATTCCAATTCTGTCAAAATATGACAACAATGTCAAATATTCCAGCATTGTCAAATTATGCCAATTCTGTCAAAATATGCCAGCATTGTCAGAATATGTAAAATATTCCATTTCTGTCAAAATATGACAACACTGTCAAAATATGACAACACTGTCAAATACTCCAGCATTCTCAAAATATGCCAATTCTGTCAAAAATATGCCAATTCTGTCAAAATATGCCAGCATTCTCAAAATACACCAATTCTGTCAAAATATGCCATTCTATCAAAATATGCAAATTTTGTCAAAATATGCCAATTCTGTCAAAATATTCAAACATTATTTGATGAGACAACAAGTAAGAACAGGGATATCACTTTCATACCTACTTGAGGGATATCATTTTCATACCTACTTGAGAATTTTTTATAAACTGTTTGTTATTATATTTTTCTATTTACAAATCTTCAATGTAATTTAAATTTAAAAAATTACCTGGGAAGTTATATTTGAGACACGCTTGCATTGAGATCATCCATTCTGCCCGAGTCTCAGCAAAAATAAGAATGTTCTGTCTTGGTTGCTGACCCAAAGATGCGAGACCACTTCCTAGATTCTCTGCTCTTGTGTCAACATCTTTGAATGTCTGCCAAGTGTAGTCCCCAAGTATAAACTAAAAGTAAAGAATACAGTAATTAGTCTCCAGATTCTCTGCTCTTGTATCTACATCTTTGAATGTCTGCCAAGTGTAGTCTCCAAGTATAAACTAAAAGTAAAGAATACAGTAATTAGTCTCCAGATTCTCTACTCTTGTATCTACATCTTTGAATGTCTGCCAAGTGTAGTCTCCAAGTATAAACTAAAAGTAAAGAAAACAAAAATTAGTTGTGTCAACATCTTTGAATGTCTGCCAAGTGTAGTCTCCAAGTATAAACTAAAAGTAAAGAATACAGTAATTAGTCTCCAAATTCTCTACTCTTGTATCAACATCTTTAAATGTCTGCCAAGTGTAGTCCCCAAGTATAAACTAAAAGTAAAGAATACAGTTATTAGTCTCCAGATTCTCTGCTCTTGTATCTACATCTTTGAATGTCTGCCAAGTGTAGTCTCCAAGTATAAACTAAAAGTAAAGAATACAGTAATTAGTCTCCAGATTCTCTACTCTTGTATCTACATCTTTGAATGTCTGCCAAGTGTAGTCTCCAAGTATAAACTAAAAGTAAAGAAAACAAAAATTAGTTGTGTCAACATCTTTGAATGTCTGCCAAGTGTAGTCGCCAAGTATGAACTAAAAGTAAAGAATACAGTAATTAGTCTCCAGATTCTCTACTCTTGTATCTACATCTTTGAATGTCTGCCAAGTGTAGTCTCCAAGTATAAACTAAAAGTAAAGAAAACAAAAATTAGTTGTGCCAACATCTTTGAATATCTGCCAAGTGTAGTCCCCAAGTATAAACTAAAAGTAAAGAAAACAAAAATTAGTTGTGTCAACATCTTTGAATGTCTGCCAAGTGTAGTCCCCATATATAAACTAAAAGTAAAGAATACCAAACTTAGTCTCCAGATTCTCTGCTTTTGTGTCAACATCTTTAAAGTTCCCATATAAAGTTTTCAAAAAGTTGTTTTTGATGGACTTTTTGTTCCAAAATTTGTGAATTTATTTAGAACTAACTTTTAGAGGTCTCACATATCTTTTAATTAGCCACAGTTCATACCAATGCATAGCATTCATCCTCACATGTTTTTTGCCGAAAAAATTAAGAAAATCGGTTCATAAATAAGCGAGAAATGAACTTATCAGTGCATGAAAATGGTTCCGAGAAAAATGCATTTCAAAATTTTAGTTCTAATAGAAACCAATGGTACAATGATATCTAAAACATAATATATTCTTCCATTTAACCTGGTTAGACAATCAACATTGGTTGATTATTGAAGTGTAGCATATTTAGAAAATATGACATCAAAAAAAATTCAATTTTTTTCAAAAGTTTTTGCTACCTTAGTGACATCACTAATGTTTCAAAATATTTTTGATGTGCTAAAACATTGAAGTGGCCCATTAAATATGGAATTTTATTATTGAAATAGTGTGTCCTTTGTTCAATCTTTGCATTGGTGTTAAAAAGATAATCTTTTTTGAAATGCATTAAGAAATATTTGATGATTAAAAAATTTCAACTTTTTTTGAAAAATGGCGGGAAATTTGAATATTTGAGAAATGAAATGCTCACAACTTTTTTTCAAAAAACATAAAACATATTATTGGTACCATATTGGTATAATAGACCAAATTCGGCTTTGGTCTAAATATCATATTTACAATTATTGGTACAATAGACTAAGTTAGTCCATAGTCTAAATATTATCTTTACAATTATTGGTAAAATAGACTTTGTTAGTCTATATTGTCTGAATATCATCTTTACAATTTTTGGTATAACAGCAAAGTTAGTCTGTATTAGAGGTGTAACTCCCGAGTCAGTAACTCGAGTACAGCTCGTCAGAGCTGCCTATACATTGGCTCGAGTTGTCCTCTAGAAACTCGCAATCTATTTCAACTCGCGAGGTGGCTATAACTCGAGTCAACTCGCGAGTTTCGCCTATCTTGCAAGCATGTAATATGAATACCATACTCAATAGAGAGAGTGGCAAATCTTCCCTTACATGTTATAAATTGCAGGTCATGATGTTACCATACTCAATAGAGAGAGTGGCAAATCTTCCCTTAAATGTTATAAATTGCAGGTCATGATGTTACCATACTAAATAGAGAGAGTGGCAAATCTTCCCTTAAATGTTATAAATTGCAGGTCATGATGTTACCATACTCAATAGAGAGAGTGGCAAATCTTCCCTTAAATGTTATAAATTGCAGGTCATGATGTTACCATACTAAATAGAGAGAGTGGCAAATCTTCCCTAACATGTTATAAATTGCAGGTCAAGATGTTACCATACTAAATAGAGAGAGTGGCAAATCTTCCCTTACATGTTATAAATTGCAGGTCATGATGTTACCATACTCAATAGAGAGAGTGGCAAATCTTCCCTTACATGTTATAAATTGCAGGTCATGATGTTACCATACTAAATAGAGAGAGTGGCAATGCATACAATTTCTTCTACTGGAAAGAAGATGGAACTCCAATAAAGGTAAAAAAGTTAATGCTAAGACACAACATATGCCGGAAAATTTGAAGTAGAAAACAAAACAAAGCTGCAGTACTTTTTCCACTGATTATAAATTCACCAAAAATAATATAATGGTAAAAATAGTAATATTAATAAAGTACTATGTTGGTAAAGCAAAAGCATGTTGATGACTCCAATTAGTATATATAAGCGCAAATACCAAAGGGAAGGGTGACTAAAAACTTTAAAGAAACCCAACAAGAAAAGCAAACTGTAAGTGTAAATCTGTCATAAGAAAAGTAGACCCTATATATCCCAAAACCATGATCTAACATGAAAAGAAACAATGTCTAACACCCCCCCCCCTCCAATCAAGAACCAATATCACAATCCAGGACCAGAACACCAAGGGACATTTCATTCATACTGAAGTCATTACAATACATGTTCAAGAAACTAGAGAGTGAATCACTGTTCCACAACTGGATGACTCTAACTGCAGTTAGCTTCATTCAAGATGGTTGCCGAGATCATTTCGTTTTCGATAAACCTCCGATTTCAGCTAAAATAAGTTGAATCTGGATTCCAAATGTTTCGCCATGCAAATTAATAAAGCTACGATGGTAAATAACCACAAATAAATGCTCAAACAACCGCGATATTGGAGAATTTTAAAGAAAACGGCTTCACTTAGAATGACTCTAACTGAAGTTGATGATGACGTCATGATGGCGTAGATCATCAACTTCAGTTAGAGTCATTCTAAGTGAAGTTGTTTTCTTTAAAATTCTCTAATATTATGGGTGTTAGAGCATTCATTTGTGGTTGAATACAATCATAGTTTTATTAATTTGCATGGCGAAACTTTTGGAATCAAGATTCAACTTAGTTTAGCTGAAATCGGAGGTTTATCGAAAACGAAAGAATCTCGGCAACCATCTTGAATGAAGCTAACTGCAGTTAGAGTCATCCAGTTGTGGAACAGTGTGAATGTGTCAATAAGTATATAAGTATACAAGGCATTAACTATTAAAAATGGGCAATGTGAAGCAAGTTGAAAAATGACCTTTTTTGAACTTGAGAAGGATATTAAAGGTCAAATGTCAAATCCAAAGTACGTTTTGAACTTCTGCGAACTTGTAGATGATTTATGAAACAATTTAGTCAATTTGAAGTAAGTTGAAAAAGAGCTTATAGATTTCTTACCTTGAGGAGGTAATTGAAGGTCATATCTCAAATTTAAAGTCAGAATTTGTTACAGATGCCAACTGCAAGACACCAACCACCATCACAAAAAATGGAGACCATAACAATGTCTCCACTTTTTGGTGGTGACATAATTTCAAGTAAATCATAGATTTACAACCTGCTTTTAAGGAAATATCACTGTTTCAGATTGGTAGCTCAGGCTCCGATGGTAAATCCTTTGAAGCAGATGATAATAAATTTCCAATGGGTTATTACGACCTTTTGCCACAGTCTGAATGTCCAGGTATGTACATGGCGAGGTCAGGGGGCTTACTTATATTGCAATACATGTATGTAAGGCCTTGAGTCACTCATATTTTGTTCTATTTCGCTTCACTTGCATTAAATCTAATCATGGTGCTTTAGATGTATGTGGCTACTACTGTAAAAGATGTAAGCTACGTAGAAAGGAGAAACTGGTCACAAAGTGTTCAGAGTGTCAACTGATGAGGAATGAAGGATACACAAAATGTGATGCATGTGTCGTGTCTGGGAGCAAATATCAATGTTTCAACTGCAAGGAATAAAGGAGTTTTACTGTACAATGAGACAAAATAGACTACAACAATAACAAACTTTTAGAGAAACATCCCTATTTATAATAATATGCTGTCAAATAATTCTTGAATAAATGACAATTATCCAGAGTAATGAAAAATCTTAAAACAATCATTATTAAGGTAATGGGGATATATATACAAGCTACCATATTTGGCGTAAAAAGCACCCAGGGTGCTTTTGAAATTGAAATTTAGATTAAAACCCATTACAAAGAGTGCTCATATATGAAAGAAAAAATGGCTGCCTTAACATATACCAAGAATGCCGAAAAACTAATTAGTTCTAGATTTTCATATTATAAATCATCCCTTAAAATTTGAAATTGATCCGTCAAACTGATATCCTGAAAATGGGTAGACAAGCCTTCACAGACGATTTTAGGACGGAAAAGCCAGAATGGCCAACTTAAAATTTATGCAGAATGACGAAAAAGTAATTAGTTTTAGATTTTCATACTAAGAATCATTCCTAAAAATTTGAAATTGATCCCTCAATCAGTTGAGACAAGCCTTCACAGACACGATTTTAGGACGGAAAATCCAAAATGGCCGCCTTAACATTTATCCAGAATGCCAAAAAACTAATCAGATCTAGCTTTTCATACTAAAAATCATCCCTGAAAATTTGAAATTGATCAATCACATGGTTATCCTGAAAATGAGTAGACGAGGCTTATCCAGCACAATTTAAAATTGATCAACCAAACGGTTCACCTGAAAAAGCGTAGCTAAGACTTTACAGACAAGATTTTAGGACAGAAAATACAAGATGGCTGCCTTGACATTTACCGGGAATGCCAAAAAACTAATCAGATCAAGATTTTTATACTAAAAATCATCCCTGAATGATCTACCAAACAGTTCACCTGAAAACGCGCATACAAGACTTTACAGACAAGATTTTAGGATGGAAAAATCCAAAATTGCTGACAATAAAATATTCAGATTTCTTTTTACAAAAATTATCACATATAACTACTGTTAACATTAACATAGGCTTTGACAACAAAGTACACCTGAAATTATTTACTACTAAGCTACTAAATAGTATCTACTAAAGTATCAAAACTCAAAAACACCATTCAAAATGATACAAAGTATTATCGCGTGCCAACTTTTCTTAAGACATTAAAAATGGCTGCCATGACTGAGCTAACAGGTCCAAAACCTAATCAGATGTAGAATGAAGTGAGTTGAACAAGTTTTTCTTAATGTTTGCAGATAAGGATTTTAGCATTTGACATCAAAATGGCTGAGAGGAAGTAGGTGTTGAGTCGAAATTTTTTGTACCTCACCTGTATGTACTCATTAGTTATCCCTGAAAATTTGAAGATAGTATCTCTAGCAGTTAAGGAAAAACTGTCGGACATACAGATGGACAGACTGACAGACATACAGACGCAGCTAAGCCGACAATATGGCCCCAAACTATGTGGTGGGGACATAAAAAGGTTGCATTTTTGTTGAAAATTAGGTCAACAATTTTGAAAAAGTATGTTGATTGGTCCAATGCCCCTTCAATATCACTAAGGTTTGATTAACTAAATTATCATTATATATTCTTTTCTTGAAGATAATGAATAGATCTTAAAAATACACTCATGTTGAACTTCATGATCAGAAAATATTCATAATTCAAGTTAGAATCGTTTGAAATTGTTTGCGATAACCTACGTGCTCCTTTCATCCTATATGACCAGTGAAGCGTGAGCCCCTTGTGTTTATTCAAAGTGGGAGTATCATAACCTCCATATATGGCATAGATACATGTGTCAGTTGTTGTACATCAAACATATTAAAATGTTCATTTTATTGTATGTTCACTCGTCATATCCTGGCTAGAGTGTTAAGAAAATCAGAGAAGTTGCTTCATCTCCAGATGTTTTCTATAAATATAGTATAAATAGGTAAGATACAGTATCTGATTTTTGATAGTACGATTCAAAATGATTTGCATATTTTAGAGAATAAACAAAAAAATTTCATTTGTTGAACAGTAAGTTGGGTATATTCAAAATAAAAATTTCTATAAAAATGATATTCACATATCTTAAATGTAATATTTTGATAAATTTCATAAAAATGACACTGCAAAAATGGAAAGTGTCTTAAATATTGGTGAGTTCGCAATAATAACTGAAAACACAATATTTCTATGTATATATTTATACAAACATGCCACATTAATCACTATAAATGATCTGTGCAAAAAGGCTGATATGATTAATCATTCATTTCTCTTATTAAAGGAAGTTGTCAGAAATCATGAGGAGAGACGTACTCACTTCACTGGTCACAATTTTGTCCATGACCATTGCTGACCCACCCCAACCTAATCCTACCTATGTTGTAATAGATGGTGATTTGTATATTGTGGTAATGCTGGGCCTTACATGGGGAGGATGTAAAGGCATAAGATACATATATGGCTACCAATATATGGAAGCAGTTGACCTGGCTCTAACAGAAATTAACAAGCATAAAGGTCAATTTGCAGATCTTGGTATCAAAATTGGAGCAATTATTATGGATGACTGTTCATCTGCTGATCGTGGTCTGAACTTAACTAAAGAATTTTATGGAGGTATTTTGTTGGTCAATGATTCAACTGGTGCCCTTATCAACCCTGATCGAGTTGTTGGATTTGTTGGTTCTGCTAACAGTGACAAAACTATGAAAGTTGCTGAATATTTGAAGACTACAAAGACAGTATTAGTAGCACCACAGGCTACAAGCCCACAGTTAAGTGACAGAACTAGGTTCCCATATTTTGTGAGGACTTTACCATCAGATAACATGCAGGTCAGCTTTCACTATTCATTATATTTCAAACACAACTAAATTTTGAAATCTTTTTAATTTTTCATAAAATAGGATATTCTCATGAGGTAAAAAAGTAAAAATGAAATTAATGGAGCTTTTTATTTTTTGAGTTTGAACCATATTTTCAAGAGGCATTGCTCCGCCTCATTACTATATTAAAGGTGAATTACATGAATTACAAGAGCGTTGAAAATGAACAAATACAGGAATGCATTTCGAGAATAAACCCTTTGAATGTTTCCATTTGTAGGGCCCTGCTCTTGCAGCCCTGTTGATTAGTCATGGCTGGATGAATGTGCACATTGTCATTGAAGATGAGTTAACTTATCCCAGAGACTTGGCAAGGCTGTTCAGAGAAACATTTGAAAAAGAGGGAGGATGTGTATCATCCACATTTATTCTGAAATCAGACACACATACTATTAATGTAGGTGCATTTGTTTATTCAATTTTACTCACCATTCTATGAATTACATTAAACCTACAACTATTTTCAAGCAAAATAGAGTCAATGTTGAGGAATTACTGTTTAGTAAGAATTATTCCTGCATTTTAGAAAACTAAGTCAAACGAAGAGGACATCATTTTAGAAATCATGGAAAGTACTTTGAAGTCAGATATAGTTTTAGTTTTGGGAGGTGGAATCGTTAAACCATTACTGGCAGCTAAGCAGAAGTTTATGAAAGATATAAGTGCCAAACGTGAGTAAAATTGTGAAATAATCAAAATGTACAACTGTGAAATTGTAGATTTAAAGGGGTTACCTTTAAAAAACAGTTCGTCTTTTTATGATGTTTAATGTTGTTTAAAGAACAAGTGTTTGTTTTCCAAGGTTTGAAGAGAGAAACAATATGGTTAATGTCTTAATGTTTTAACATAATAGTTGGTCAAAATGGCACAAGTAAAATGGCAATTCAACGTTACAGGTCTGGTATTCATTGGGACAGAGACATGGGGAAAAACAGAGTTCATGGTTGATGGCTTTGAAAAAGCAGCAGCTGGATCAATAACAATAGCCTTATATGGGGATACTGTCAAAGCATTTGATACACATATGTCAAAACTCAGGTAGGCAACAACTATAGCCTTATATGGGGATACTGTCAAAGCATTTGATACACATATGTCAAAACTCAGGTAGGCAACAACTATAGCCTTATATGGGGATACTGTCAAAGCATTTGATACACATATGTCAAAACTCAGGTAGGCAACAACTATAGCCTTATATGGGGATACTGTCAAAGCATTTGATACACATATGTCAAAACTCAGGTAGGCAACAACTATAGCCTTATATGGTGATACTGTCAAAGCATTTGATACACATATGTCAAAACTCAGGTAGGCAACAACTATAGCCTTATATGGTGATACTGTCAAAGCATTTGATACACATATGTCAAAACTCAGGTAGGCAACAACTATAGCCTTATATGGTGATACTGTCAAAGCATTTGATACACTATGTCAAAACTCAGGTAGGCAACAATTATAGCCTTATATGGTGATACTGTCAAAGCATTTGATGCACATATGTCAAAACTCAGGTAGGCAACAACTATAGCCTTATATGGTGATACTGTCGAGACATTTGATACACATATGTCAAAACTCAGGTAGGCAACAACTATAGCCTTATATGGGGATACTGTCAAAGCATTTGATACACATATGTCAAAACTCAGGTAGGCAACGACTATAGCCTTATATGGGGATACTGTAAAAGCATTTGATACACATATGTCAAAACTCAGGTAGGCAACAACTATAGCCTTATATGGGGATACTGTCAAAGCATTTGATACACATATGTCAAAACTCAGGTAGGCAACAACTATAGCCTTATATGGGGATACTGTCAAAGCATTTGATACACTATGTCAAAACTTAGGTAGGCAACAACTATAGCCTTATATGGTGATACTGTAAAAGCATTTGATACACATATGTCAAAACTTAGGTAGGCAACAACTATAGCCTTATATGGTGATACTGTCAAAGCATTTGATACACATATGTCAAAACTCAGGTAGGCAACAACTAAAGCCTTATATGGTGATACTGTCAAAGCATTTGATACACATATGTCAAAACTTAGGTAGGCAACGACTATAGCCTTATATGGTGATACTGTCAAGACATTTGATACACATATGTCAAAACTTAGGTAGGCAACAACTATAGCCTTATATGGGGATACTGTCAAAGCATTTAATACACATATGTCAAAACTTAGGTAGGCAACGACTATAGCCTTATATGGGGATACTGTCGAGACATTTGATACACATATGTCAAAACTTAGGTAGGCAACAACTATAGCCTTATATGGTGATACTGTCAAAGCATTTAATACACATATGTCAAAACTTAGGTAGGCAACGACTATAGCCTTATATGGTGATACTGTCGAGACATTTGATACACATATGTCAAAACTCAGGTAGGCAACAACTATAGCCTTATATGGGGATACTGTCAAAGCATTTGATACACATATGTCAAAACTCAGGTAGGCAACGACTATAGCCTTATATGGGGATACTGTAAAAGCATTTGATACACATATGTCAAAACTCAGGTAGGCAACAACTATAGCCTTATATGGGGATACTGTCAAAGCATTTGATACACATATGTCAAAACTCAGGTAGGCAACAACTATAGCCTTATATGGGGATACTGTCAAAGCATTTGATACACTATGTCAAAACTTAGGTAGGCAACAACTATAGCCTTATATGGTGATACTGTAAAAGCATTTGATACACATATGTCAAAACTTAGGTAGGCAACAACTATAGCCTTATATGGTGATACTGTCAAAGCATTTGATACACATATGTCAAAACTCAGGTAGGCAACAACTAAAGCCTTATATGGTGATACTGTCAAAGCATTTGATACACATATGTCAAAACTCAGGTAGGCAACAACTATAGCCTTATATGGGGATACTGTCAAAGCATTTGATACACATATGTCAAAACTCAGGTAGGCAACAACTATAGCCTTATATGGTGATACTGTCGAGACATTTGATACACATATGTCAAAACTCAGGTAGGCAACAACTATAGCCTTATATGGTGAAACTGTCAAAGCATTTAATACAAATATGTCAAAACTTAGGTAGGCAACGACTATAGCCTTATATGGTGATACTGGCGAAGCATTTGATACACTATGTCAAAACTCAGGTAGGCAACAACTATAGCCTTATATGGTGATACTGTAAAAGCATTTGATACACATATGTCAAAACTCAGGTAGGCAACAACTATAGCCTTATATGGGGATACTGTAAAAGCATTTGATACACATATGTCAAAACTCAGGTAGGCAACAACTATAGCCTTATATGGTGATACTGTCAGAGCATTTGATATATTCACATGTCAAAACTTTGGTAGGCAGCAACTATAGCCTTATATGGTGGAACTGCCAAATCATTTGATATATACACATGTAAAAACTCAGGTAAGCAACAACTATATCCTTATGTGGTGATACTGTCAGAGCATTTGATATATTCACATGTCAAAACTTTGGTAGGCAACAACTATAGCCTTATATGGTGGAACTGCCAAATCATTTGATATATAAACATGTAAAAACTCAGGTAGGCAACAACTATAGCATTATATGGTGATAATTCCAAAGCATTTGATACCAACATGTCAAAACTTAGGTTGGACAAACATGTATGTAGTTTCTTTCAATAGACTTCTCATTCTCCCGCAGATTTGGTCAACCTTCTGCCAGCAGTGTTCATACTGAGATGTACTTCAAAGCTATGTTCAATTGCAATACCAACTGTACAACTGACATGATTGTAACAGAACTCCCAACTTATAGCCAAGACACTTTCATACTGCAGACAATTCATGCAGTATATGCTCTTAGTATAGCTACAACTGAGAGACTAACAAAGAAATGTGGGAAAGGAACCAAAACTGTATGTGAAGCACTTGGCACAGCATTTGGAAAAAACTTCACTGACATTTTGGGAAATATGTCTTTCAAGGATATTGACGGTACTATTTTTTGAATCTATCACATATTAAGATTTAGAGATCATTCTTTCCCAGTTCAGGACAATGTATACACATTTATATACAGTTCTAAATTAAAACAAATAATTATGCCATACACAGTGAAATTTAAAACATACTGGAAGTATGTGCTCATGTTAACATCATTATGTTAGTCACTATTAGGCACTGCAGATAGTTACAGTCAGGCAAATCTTCCCTTACATGTTATAAAATGCAGGTCATAATACACAGTAGAGAGAATGGCAAATCTTCCCTAACATGTTATAAATTGCAGGTCATGATTTACCATACTCAATAGAGAGAGTGGTAAATCTTCCCTTACATGTTATAAATTGCAGGTCATGATGTTACCATACTCAATAGAGAGAATGGCAAATCTTCCCTTAAATGTTATAAATTGCAGGTCATAATGTTACCATACTCAATAGAGAGAGTGGCAAATCTTCCCTTAAATGTTATAAATTCATGTCATGATGTTACCATACTCAATAGAGAGAGTGGCAAATCTTCCCTTACATGTTATAAATTGCAGGTCATGATGTTACCATACTCAATAGAGAGAGTGGCAAATCTTCCCTTAAATGTTATAAATTGCAGGTCATAATGTTACCATACTCAATAGAGAGAGTGGCAATGCATACAATTTCTTCTACTGGAAAAAAGATGGAACTCCAATGAAGGTAATACTACAATGCATTTGCTTCAACACTGTAGCAGTGAGAATTGAACAGCAAAGTGCTGGTACAATATTGAATTCAAATGATACTTAAACTTCATGCAGAAAACAGCACACGTTTGCTCCTCTTTGTTGTCACTGAAAGTGTACCAAATTCTCATTCCATCCTCAACTAGAAAAACAGCAACTCCACGGAGTAGCAAATCCCACCGAACAAAACATATTATGCTTATTATAGCTAGTGTAAATGTTGAAATGTTTGTGCACTTTGAGAGAGAAGCATGAAATTTGGCACAAAGTTAGTTTATACCATTGTGAACTCGGCATCATCATATAAAATTTGAACCAAATCTGTTCACTGGTATATGAGTTATCAAAGATTATGTTTTTTACGAATATGGGCCGCCATCTTGAAATTCAGCCGCCATCTTGAAAATTATTTCTTGAACAGAGAAACTGTGTCCCTAGGCATATTAATATAAAATTTCAATCAAATCTGTTCACTGGTATTTGAGTTATCAAAGATTATGTTTTTTACGAAAAATTGACGCCATTTTGAAATTAAGCGGCCATCTTGAAAATGTTTTGTCGAACATAGCTACTGTGTCCCTAATAATCATCATATAAAATTTGAACCAAATCCGTTCACTGGTATTTGAGTTATCAAAGATTACATATTTTTACGAAAAATGGCCGCTACTTTGAAATTAAGCGGCCATCTTGAAAATCTCTTTTTGTGCGAAACTCCTTTGTCCCTAGGCATCAGCATATAAAATTTGAACCAAATCCGTTCACTGGTATATGAGTTATCAAAGATTACGTTTTTTAAGGAATTTGGGCTGCCATCTTGAAATTCAGCCGCCATCTTGAAAATTATTTATTGAACAGAGCTACTGTGTCCCTAGGCATAATCATATAAAATTTCTACCAAATCTGTTCACTGGTATTTGAGTTATCAAAGATTACGTTTTTTACGAAAAATTGCCGCCATTTTGAAATTAAGCGGCCATCTTGAAAATGTTTTGTCGAACATAGCTACTGTGTCCCTAAGCATCATCATATAAAATTTGAACCAAATCCGTTCACTGGTATTTGAGTTATCAAAGATTACATATTTTTACGAAAAATGGCCGCCATTTTGAAATTAAGTGGCCATCTTGAAAATCTCTTTTTGTGCGAAACTCCTTTGTCCCTAGGCATCAGCCTATAAAATTTGAACCAAATCCGTTCACTGGTATATGAGTTATCAAAGATTACGTTTTTTAAGGAATTTGGGCCGCCATCTTAAAAATTCAGCCGCCATCTTGAAAATTATTTCTTGAACAGAGCTACTGTGTCCCTAGGCATAATCATATAAAATTTCAACCAAATCTGTTCACTGGTATTTGAGTTATCAAAGATTACGTTTTTTACGAAAAATTGCCGCCATTTTGAAATTAAGCGGCCATCTTGAAAATGTTTTGTCGAACATAGCTACTGTGTCCCTAAGCATCATCATATAAAATTTGAACCAAATCCGTTCACTGGTATTTAAGTTATCAAAGATTACATATTTTTACGAAAAATGGCCGCCATTTTGAAATTAAGCGGCCATCTTAAAAATCTCTTTTTGTGCGAAACTCCTTTGTCCCTAGGCATCAGCATATAAAATTTGAACCAAATCCGCAAACTAGTATTTGAGTTATTAAAGATTACATTTTTTACGAAAAATGGCGGCCATTTTGAATTCAGTGGCCATATTGAAAATTCCTTCTCGAGCAGAGGTCCTACACCCATAAGGCATAAGCCTATAAAATTTGAATCAAATCCGTGATTCGGTATTTGAGTTATCGCCCGGACAAACAGATGGACGACAAGCGGGGTAGGTGTGACCTGACAAGGGACGCCTACCCCACCACCGGGGTATTTGCGACTTGAGATGGGGTAGATGTGACCTAAACTGGGGTAGGCGCAACCTGAGTAATATACATGGGGTAAATGCGACTTGATGGGGTAGATGTGACTTGCACTTTTAAAAATGATTTTGGGGTATATGCGACTTAAGGTGAAAATATCTGCTAACTGTATTATAAGTGCTAATATTATCAAATAAGCATTGTAATATCAATTCTCTTCAAAATTAACATAATAGGCATATAATTTTGCTAGTTTGGCACAATTTTAGTTAATAAATTAAGCTAATTACGCCAATGGGTATAAGGGGGGGGGGTACAAAGTAACCCCTTAGTAAAATGTGGCAATAAAAGATCCTAATCTACCAAATGAGTTCTAATGGAATGCCTACTGGCAACTTGTTTTATTGGGAATGTAATGTTAATGATATTTAATATGATAATTAATTATAGGTGATGATCATTGCTCTACAAAATAGAGAAAAATATTTTTTCTTTCACTAACCCATCATTGCTTTCCACTGGGTCAAGAGTTAGACACGATGGATATTGAAACCATGTAAAAAAGATGACATTTACAATATCTTAAAGGTAGAATCAGATCTATAGGGAGTGACAAAATTTCAGACAATATGTACAATTGATGTACCAATGTATTCCTTAGAAGCTCAAATGTAAAATCTGCCAAAAGATCTGTGATATGTTATCAATTGGTGTCAATCAAAAGTTATTTAAGATTCAAAGTGCAAAAAGGGGTAAAATATTTAAATTCTCCCAAATAATAAGAATTCTTATAGTAGACAAATGATTGTGTTATTGTAAAAATCTTTACTGTATTGTAGTTTGGGGTAGCAACTATACCACTGCTCTGGATCCACAACTGTTGAAAACTTCAAAAAAACATTTTTAAGATTATTATCTTTGAAAAAGTGAAAAATAGCATTCATCTTCTTTATTTAAACAATTTAAATTGTGAGCAAATTGTGAATACAACGTTTGCCAATTTGTATATAATTGGTACAATAACTTGACAAGTTATCCTCAGCTTTCAGTGACTATTATTATCGAAATGATCAAAGTCATCAAAATTCAAGGACAGATAATTGTATTTGGAATATAATCTACTGAAAATTAATAATTATCAGAAATAGCCCTTCTCTGAGTATTTTAAAATCAAGACTAAAAAGTTTCTTAATCAGCAAAATTCTGAATAACTAATATTATATCACTTCACTCTCTGATTGGTCTTTGTCCAGCACTTGACTAAAAATAACTAGCAATAATCAATAAATGATATCTACCAGTCACAACTTAGTCCAGTGTAATTTTTATTTTATACATCCCCAGGATTGAATTAGTCCAATGCCATTTGTATTATACACTTAGTATAATTTAATATTATAGAAGACATTATGACAGTGATATAATAAAACAAATATTCTATTTTTGGTGAATACCTGTGACAGTTTCACAAGATGATATTCCACTAGCCCTCTGGGCATCATCATGTACATGTCTTATAAATGAAAGTTTATCCTTCATCAGAATTGCGAAATTGAAATGCTCGATCACCATGTATTTTTTATTCTTATTTTCAAGAAAGTCACTATATTGCCACATTGAGATGGCATTACAACCTTGTCTTTATGGGTGTACTACTCCCCCATCATTCAATTTTGAACCAGATAGTGAATCATCTGGGGAATTATCATCTATCTGTCTTTAATGCTATCTTTGATTAGACAAATATATGTATCACATCTATAAATAAATACTATGAGTACATCATGTCTAAGTTAGCGAAAACTAGAATTGAATACTTCAAAGACTGTATCATGACCCATGTACATGGGTACGAGGCTTTTTATACAAAGCCTTGTTTTCTGTATATTTGGGGCTAGAATGAGATTGGCCAAATATTGAACTCAAGTAATAGGTAACAGATCACAATTAGTATATTTTCCTTTGTTTATACTTGTATATATTGTATGTTTAGCATTTCATGTTGAAAAGAATAATGAGAAGTGCCCACAAAAAAACTTTTTCATCTAATTTACTTCAGCACCCTAGCACCTGAAGTAACCTGTAGACTGAAACATTGAATTTAACATTATTGGGGCTAAAATAAATTTTTTATCTGAGAATATTGGGAACTTAATTTTAATAGTTAAAAATTACATTTTTATTAATGCCATGCTATTTAAAAAAAACACCTTTTGGCATAAAACTGTTGGTAGAGTAAATAATCCAGGGATTAATTCCAAGACCTAGTTAGTTCAATATAACCTTGCAAGAGCACTTCTTCAACTCCAATGTAAACTGGCCACAAATGATCTTTTAATTAATTACAATGGAATCAATTTATCTACAACTACATCTTTCACTTTGCTTTGTTTAGAAACATTTTTAGACATGTTGAAACATTTTTAGTATACACAAAAGTAAAACAAATGAGCAAATCCATGAAGGACAAATCAAATCAACTGATGACAATTACAATGATTACAATGATAAAACAAATGAGCCATCCCATGGAGAACAAATCAAATCAACTGATGACAATTACAATGATAAAAATGAGCCATTCCATGAAGAACAAATCAAATCAACTGATGACAATTACAATGATTACAATGATAAAAATGAGCCATTCCATGAAGAACAAATCAATTAACTCATGACAATTACAATGGTTACAATGATAAAAATGAGCCATTCCATGAAGAACAAATCAAATCAACTGATGACAATTACAATGATTACAATGATAAAAATGAGCCATTCCATGAAGAACAAATCAATTAACTCATGACAATTACAATGATTACAATGATAAAACAAATGAGCCATTCCATGAAGGACAGATCAATTAACTGATGACAATTACAATGATAAAACAAGTGACGAAAATAAAAAATAAAAAAACAAAGAAAGTTCAAATGTTAAATATGCAAGCAAAAGCTAAGTGGTAGAAAATCTAAGTGGTAGTAAAAGACATCAGTCTAAATGTACCATTTAAGAACATCCCCCTTAGATTAGGTAAAACTCTCCCACACTTGTACTTTCGGATTTTTCAGCATTTAACAACATTTTTAATCTTCAAATTCATTTT